TACCAATTGCTTTCTTGGTGACTATGGTCCCAGCTGCCTTGAGATCATTGACAAGATCTTCCCGTGTAGCCCTGGGCTGATTCCTCACCGTTCTCATGATCATTGCAACTCCACGAGGTGAGATCTTGCATGGAGCCCCAGGCCGAGGGAGATTGACAGTTATTTTGTCTTTCTTCCATTTGCGAATAATCGCACCAACTGTTGTCACCTTCTCACCAAGCTGCTTGGCAATGGTCTTGTAGCCCATTCCAGCCTTGTGTAGGTCTACACTCTTGTCCCTGACATCCTTGGAGAGCTCTTTGGTCTTGGCCATGGTGGAGAGTTTGGAATCTGATTGATTGCTTCTGTGGACAGGTGTATTTTATACAGGTAACAAGCTGAGATTAGGAGCACTCCCTTTAAGAGTGTGCTCCTAATCTCAGCTCGTTACCTGTATAAAAAAAAACACTTGAGAGCCAGAACTCTTTCTGATTGAGAGGGGGGTCAATACTTATATCCCTCATTAAATGCAAATCAATTTATCAAATTTTTGACATGAGTTTTTCTGGATTTATTTGTTGTTATTCTGTCTCTCTCTGTTCAAATAAACCTACCATTAAAATTATGGACTGATAATTTCTTTGTCAGTGGGCAAACGTACAAAATCAGCAGGGGATCAAATACTTTTTTTCCCTCACTGTACGTGAGGGGGAGGGGGTGAGCGAAACGTCGGACCTCACGGCAACGCGGCGTGCGCACGGCCACGAAAATCTCGACGCACGATGAATGACAACAGTCACAACAACAACAGTCACAACAACAACAACAACAGTCCCACCAACAACATAATCTGTACAATATGAACAATGCGTGCCGCTTGTTTGCCTGCGTGTACGTTTGTTTTGGGGTTTGGCGGTTTCTTTTTCTTACACAATAAACATTCAGATAAATTAATATATATTTCATGATTTCCAACAACAACGCCTTGTTGTTGTTGTTGCTTTCGTCCCCTTAGCGTTCCAAACGCGATCGATTGCGTGCCCAGTGCCTCCTGCGCGCGGCTGTCTGCCGTGGCGTCGCCCGCAATCGCTTTGGACGATCGGCTCGACGGTTAAACCCACCGTGGTCTGCGCCCCTAACACCGTGTAGGAACACCTACATAGCACAAACTCTCTCTCTCTCTCCATCCTGAAGCCCCTTCCCTCGTGGCCAGCAGCAAACGTCGACGTAACCATCGAGCTCCTGAACCAAGCTGCTGCCGCCATCCGCGAGGACAGCGGTCACCACCTTACACGTGTTTCAGGTGAACATTGCGCCACGGTGGCTGGGAGATGTTAACCACCTTCGTCTGGTGTGCAGGAGGTCGTGGGTTCGATCCCGGCCCTGACGCCTGCTGTGTACTTGGGAGTTTGCGTGTCCTCTCCCTCTCTCTCTCCCCGTGGATTTTTTCGTCTCCGGGTCCTCCGGTTTTTCCCTCCGCATTTCAGCATCAACGTCACGCGTTTTGGAGCGTTTGGCTGCTCTGAATGTCCACGTGATGATAAGCCCGTGAGTTGAGCCATCATTTGTGACCCCCAGGTCGCTTCTGAAAAAAAGAGCTGAACAGCTCAGTGGGGCCTTACTTGGTAAAATAAAAAATATATATATAGGTTAAGTTCCTTTATTCGTGTAATCATCCCGTGATCAATTTACTACGATGCGTTGATTCGCTTGCAAAGTGTCGCGTGGCGCGGCCGTTCTGCGGCTCCGATTGCTGCCTGCTTCGATGGCGAACCTCACTTTGGATGTTCGGTTTTTTGTTCGTTTGTTTGTTTGTTTGACCGTTTTTTGTTATTTGAAAAAAAAAATTGGGTGACCCAGGTCACTGTTCTTCCCGATTCGCGGCCTCATCAGTCCCTCACCCTGGCCTGGGACGAAAGTTGCTGTGACACGTGCGTGGCTCGCGAAGGAGCGCGGACGTGACGTCCGGTGGCTAATTTCACCGATGTCGACGATGGAAGTTAATCAGCGGTGCATTATTGTGTGCTGATTAACCGTGAATAACCCACACCGATAACACATATTGATTGTCATTTAAGTGACGACATTAATCCCCCATCACCCACACCTCTTCTCTGTTCTTCACAACCGATTGGCGCACAAATGACGACATCACATTCATCCGCTCTCTTTAAGACCGACAAATGCAGGAGGATTTCTCCACAGCTGCGGTTGCTTAACACGTCGGCTGTCGCGACCAGTATGATTAATAATATAGATGTTTGGGGTTAGATCGCGTTATTTATAAATGTGTCGAAACCCTCCACCACCCGACACGGCCAATCAGTAAAAAAATGTGTCACGTTGACAAAAGACAAAATAGTTCACTACTTTAGCCCACCGATGTGTTGAAGAGTGAATCCACAACATTTACATTTTTTGAGTACGACGTTTCGCTGGAAATTACATCCAGCATCTTCGGGTGACTTGCTAGAATCGCCCTGAAGATGCTGGATGTAATTTCACGAAGATGCTGGATGTGATTTCCCGAAGATGCTGGATGTAATTTCCCGAAGATGCTGGATGTAATTTCCCGAAGATGCTGGATGTAATTTCCCGAAGATGCTGGATGTAATTTCCCGAAGATGCTGGATGTAATTTCCCGAAGATGCTGGATGTAATTTCCCGAAGATGCTGGATGTAATTTCCCGAAGATGCTGGATGTAATTTCCCGAAGATGCTGGATGTAATTTCCAGCTCTGGTTGTGTCGCCTGATGAGGCTGCTTGTTTCCGGTGAAACGTCACGCCACTCGACTTGTAAATGTTGTTGCGGGTTTACTCTCCAACACGCAACCGGTGTGTTGAACTAGTAACGAATTGACACGTTTTGTTCACGTGACAAACCTCACTTATTGGTCTGCGTCGGGTGGTGGTGGGTTTAACGACGACACATTTACGCGATCTAACCCAACCAAAAAAAAAACACCGTCCGTCATGGACGACGATGGAAATCACCAATTTGAGAAGAAGACAAAAAAAAATGTGCCATCACATCTGTTCTTGAATTACGAAACACACAGTCTCCTTGTGTCTAAAGCCGAAAAAGAATCGCAGCAAGATGTAAACCATCGGGTTTAAACCATAGGATGTATAAACCATCACCGCGTGAACTCCGGCCATCCTCGCAGCAGCAGCAGGAGCGGTGGCTTTTGGGTGGCCGTCGAACAAAGGCGGTGGTCAACGCATTGTCATCATCGCAGCGCTTTACCAGATGTGCTTCCGCGGCCGTCTGGACCGCTCTTCCCTTCCGCTATTAGGAACTCGCTGGGAACTATGGCACGTTTAAAATCCCGATTTAAAGAACTGCTTTTTGTGTTTAGTCTGTTGTCCTTCGGCCGCACCTCCAATGAGCACGGTTTGCTAGGCAGTGTGCGGAAAAAAAAGTTCCACAAACATAGGTATATAGGTATAACGTCACCTTATTTTATTTAGGCACTACGCTGGCATTAGGCACGTCGGTCGGTCAGTGTGTGTATTCTGGGTAAGGCACTTTTAGTTTTGAAACTCTCTATGGATCGCGACCAATATCATTTGAGATGTGGACAAGGAGGAAGAATCAGAGAACGACAGCCCCAGATGAGGGGACAAACGGAGAGAAAAAATGTCTAATGGCATCGACGACGGAGGAGCGATAGTGAAGGAAAGAGAATGGGTGGATTGAAGACATCTTACGAGCGTCCGGGTCGATTGAATGAGGACAGAAAGGAAGGAGGGGATGATGCAAGGCAAGAGAACGGGAGGAAAGGAATAAGGATTGGGGGTTGTTGGAGGAGCATGAAGGGAGGGGTCACTCGTGAAAGTGAAACTGCGTACCTGTGGCACACCGCGGGAAGGAGAATAGAGTCACGGATCTAATGTAGATGTCAGGGATGATGATGATGAGAAGGGAGGAAATAGAGGGGGGTGGGGGTGGGGGGGGAAGAGAGAAGGGAGTAAGGCAGGGAGTGAGTTGCCCGGAGGAGCGGCGTCTGTTTTCATAGCGGGCGTCGGTAGCCGGGGAGAGGGGAGGGATTCAGAGTGGGAGTGGCCACGCAGGAGTCACGTGATTCACGGGAGGCTTGAGCCGATTCGGAGAGAGAGACCGAAATGCATGGATGAGGTATCGAGATTGGGTGGAGGCCCGCTTAGAGTCACGTGATTCACGAGAGACTTGAGCCGATTGAATTCGAGATAAAGGGCGAGGAGGGCAGAGAAAGGTGGGGATGGTGGCGATCAAGGGACTTGCGATAAGGCACAGAGACAAACGGGAAGACTCAGGCTAAGGCACTGCTGTGTGTTTTGTGTACGTTATGTAAGTGTGTTGGAATTTCTTTCGCACCGTACATAGCCAACCGTACTAATCGCAGGTGCGGGGGGGGGGCGGGGCGCGGTCAAGGACAACAAACTAAACACACACACACAAAATCTCACCACCATCAACATCACCATCATCATGACCGTCACCATCATCAGCAGCCGTGGTCAATCCACTGCCGGACGACGGCGGCTCCCCCCAAGCCGACGCTCTTTATACTACGGCCCCGCAGAGAAGCGCAGTGTTGACGCGAAGGCGCTCGCTGGTGCTGCAGGCGGTAGGCATCGCAGCCACGCGAAGGGATTTGTCGCCTCTGGCGTCGATAACCGCGCGGGAGGGCGCTCGTAACGTCCTCACGGGGAGGTGCTCTCCACAAACCGTGGCGGCCGCGGCGGCCGGCGGCCGCCGGGGGGTTTCGATTCTCGCGGTCACTTTCGATGTTTTGTGAATTTTTTTATTTTTTTTTATATATATATCTATCTTTTGTTGTCCAGCGACGTGAAAAAGAAAAATCACGAAACGCACGCTCCGCCAGCCACGTCGGCCAGGCTTTGCGTTCGTCAATAAAATGAAGAATAGCACGTCGAAACCGAGTTTATTCCTCCGGGGAAAGTTCGGTGGACGACTCCTTTACGGGAGAGAGGGTCCCGCAGTGGTCTCTTCAGAGTGGGTGGGGGGGGGGGGGGGGGGGGGGGGGCACTGTCGCTGATAAGACGTCATCAGCGTGAAGAGAGCTGCCACACATTTAAAACCATTGCGGGGAGGGGGGGGTTTGGACAGCAGCACGATGATGATGATGATGATGGGGGGTGTTTTCACCATTTGTGTTCGAGGGTGGTGGTGGTGGTGGTGGGGCGCACACGTCAGGGGCTCGCGCCAAAGGCCACCAGGGCCCGTCGGTGCCCCGCGGCCCTTGCAATGAAGAACGCCACTGTGGTGGAATACTCCGTCGGCTATCGTTCGTTTCAGCGAGCCGTGGCTCCCCCGGTTAGCGTCCCAGCGACGACGACGCCGGCCGTGGCGCCGGCTCCGGCGGGTCAGCGCCAGCGCGGCACGCTCGCTCTTCATCACGTCAAACTTTATCTGCAGGAGTAAAGTAAAACAACAAAAAAACGCACGCACGTCCTGGGAAGTTGTTGCTTTGTTGTTGATTGTTGTTGTCGTTGTTGTTGTTGATGCGACGCACCGACTGTGAAACGTTGTTCCCCTCCACTAGGAGATGTTAACTACTTCGCCTGCTATGCAGGAGGTCGTGGGATCGATCACGACCCCGACGCCTGTTGTGTATTTGGAGTTTGCGCGTCGCTCTCTCCACATTCAGAATCAACGTCACGCGCTGAGAGTATTTTGGCTGCGACAAGTCACTTCGCTGAGCTATCATTTTTGGCAAGGTCGCTTCTGAAAAAGAGCCACATAGCTCAGCGGTAAAATAACAAAAAATATACAGCCTTAAAGTTTACTTGATTAGACTCCCAGCAGCAAGCGGCAAGCACGCCGAGAGCCACGCCGGCCACCCTCGGCAGGCTTCAAACCCCCGGCGCTAACGGTGCAGAGTGGGGGCGACGGCCCCTCGGTGGCGGTGGCAGCGAGGGCTGGGGGGGGGGGCGGTGGTGGGTGGTGGGTGGTGGGTGCGGCGACTCCGCGGTCCGAGCGGCCCCCCCCCCCCTCCGACGTCACACGGCGGTCTCGTTCCCCTGGCCCGGCTTGAGCCACCCGACGGCGCCGGACGCCGCGGCCGCGGCCGCCACGACGACGCAGCCCCTGGCGTCGTTCTTGGTGCGGGCGCCCCCCACCAGCCTGCCGGAGCACCTCCTCCACGAGCCGAGCGTCTTCGCCGACCAGATCCACATGCCCGAGGTGATGCCCACGAGCAGCGACATGAAGATGCGCACCATCTCGACGGCGACGGCGCTCGGCTCGCCGGGCGCGCCGCGCCTCGCCGGGTCCCAGTTGGAGATCTGGTAGAAGTAGCAGGCGATGACGCACGTCGCCGGCACGGTGTAGAGCACCGAGAAGACGCCGATCTTCACCATGAGCCTCTCCAGCTTGTCCGTCTTGGCGCCGCCCTTCTGCAGGTTCGAGCGGATGCGGAAGAGCGCCACGAGGCCCGCGGCGATGAAGAGCGTGCCCACGACGAGGTAGGTGAAGAGGGGCGCCACCACAAAGCCCGTGAGCGCGTCCAGGCTCTGGTTGCCCACGTAGCAAAGGCCCGTGAGCTCGTCGGCGTCCACCTGGCGCATGATGAGGATGACGATGGTCTTGAGCGCCGGCACGGCCCACGCGGCGATGTGGAAGTATGAGCTGTGCTGCTCGATGGCCTCGTGGCCCCACTTGAGGCCCGCCGACAGGAACCACGTGAGCGTGAGCACCACCCACCAGATGGAGCTCGCCATGCCGAAGAAGTAGAGGAAGAGGAAGACGATGGCGCAGCCCGTGTTCTTGAGGCCCTCCTGGATGAGGAACGGCTCCGGCGCGGCGTCTTCCAGGTCGCAGGCGAGCTGCTCGCGGCCGACGGCCAGGCGCACCACGTAGGCCACGCTGTAGACATTGTAGCACCAGCTGAGGAAGATGATGGGCCGCTCCGGGTAGGAGAAGCGCGACGAGTCGATCATGAACGTGAGCACGGTGAAGGCGGTCGACACGAAGCAGAGGCCGGCCCACACGGCCATCCAGCGGTCGGTGAACTCCTTGGTGGGGCGGCCGTAGAGGCCCTTGTCGTAGCCGCAGCGCAGGGCGCAGCGCCCGGCGCGCCGCACCCACACGTACTGCTCCCAGTTGGGGCCCATGTCCCGGCACTCCGGGCTCGGGGCGACGGCGACGACGGCGCCGCCGCCGCCGCCACCGCCGGCGTCGTCGTGCCAGGCGTCCGGCTCGTCTCCTCCGCCGGCGCCACCGCCGACGACGCCGGCGCCGCCGCCGACGAGCGACGTTAACTTCTTCCGCCCGTCGTCCGCTTTGCCAACGCTGCCGCCGCCGCCGCCGGCGCCGCCCTCCTGCTCGCCGGGGCCCTCCATGCACATGTGGTTGTGGTCGTTCTGCGGCGGGAAGCGGCTGCAGTTGAGGCTGTCAGGCCACGAGAAGCCGAACTCGTTGAGCACGGGCTCGCAGCGCGTCTTCACGCCCAGGCACATGCTGCCGCACGGCCCGATGGGGATGTCCACCTTCTCGGTGCACATGGGCACGAAGACGGAGCACAGGAAGAACTGGCGGAGAACACGAGCACGCAACGTTCTCAATTAGCGACAGCCACGACCACGTTGTCGTTGTTGTTGTTGTTGTTGCTCTCGCGATAACAAAGCACATTCGTGTATGTTCAGCGGCGGAAATGTGAAATGTAGAAGTGCCCGGCGTACGCACGTATGCATGTAACTTTCTGACTCGCCCCTAGTGGACGTCGGTGAAAAAGAGCTTCATGGCTCATCAGATTCCTCCAGGTTCTCCTTTGAGGCTGAGTCGACCTAGGGGAGGCCCAGGACCGGTTGAACTATTTGCCAAATGTCGCTGGGCCCGCGAGCGTGAATTGAACTCGGCTCGCCCGGGGGTTCGCAGCGCAGCGCGCTAACCGTTGCGCCACCGCTCCCAGTTGTACAAAGACAAAGATCCCCCGTATAGCCTTAACAGACTGTAGGGGCAAGTGCTGTTAGCGAGCACCTATGAAGGCCGGAACGGCACACAAGGATGTGGGTGGCCAGCACCACGCCCGACCGCCTTTGTCTCCCCAGTGGCGATGTTTACACACCGCACCGGGTACTCATTTGAGGCCGAGTCGACCTAGGTGGAGGCCCGGGACCGGTTCAGATAATCGTCACCGGTGTTGGCCGTGAGCGGGAATCGAACCCGGGCGGCCAGGTCCATCGCGCAGCGTAGCGCTAACCTGCTGCACGCGCGCGCGCGCTGGGGGCGGGGTCTGGAGTGGGGGCGGGGCGCGGGGCGGGGGGAGGGGCTGTCGGTGGCAGTCACGCGTCAAAGTTGGTCCGTGCCACGCCATCGATTTTTTTTTTAAATATTTAAATCGGTTTTATTTATGTTTTTTTTACTAGGTGTAAAGCTCACTGAGCTGCGATGTAGCACTTCTTCAGAAGCGACCTGGCAATGAGAAATTACGGCTCGACACAGTTGACCTATGTTCACGTGGAAATGTGTAGCAGCCAAATAACTCTAAACGGGGTGATGTTAAATGATAAAATGTGGAGGGGAAAACCTGGAATTAAAAAAACCCACGCGACCACCGGGGGAGAGAGAGAGAGAGAGACACGCAAACTCCAAATATACAGCAGCAGGCGTCGTCAAGGTTGGCATCAAACCCACGACCTCCCGTATACCAGGCGAGGTAATTAACATCTCACCACTGTAAGAGAGAGACACGCAAACTCCAAATGTACAACAGGCGTCAGGGTTGGGATCAAACCCACGCCCTCCTGTATACCAGGCGAGATAGTTAACATCTCCTAGCCACCGTCGCGTCCCAGAAAATCTGTTGAAACCGTCGCTCCTTGCACTTCACCAGCATTGATTCAAGCGAGCCTGACTCTGCTGCTGCTGCTGATGATGATGATGAGAAAACCGGTCCGGACTTTTTGTTAGTGCATGTCTTGAACCAATGCTGCCGAAATTACGCACTCCCAGAAGTCCGTGCGGCTGGCCGTAGGGGATGCGTGTCACTTTCTGACTCGCTCTTGATTTGAAGCTTTCGTGACTGCAGGAATCCCCATACTCTTTGGTTCTTTCGGTAAAGTCACGTAGGGTAGATTAAAATAAAACAAAATACATCACGACGTTTCGATCGCAACGCAAGCGGTCGTCCTCAGGCGGAAAAAAAAATCATCCAGCGGTGGAACTGCTGAGCCCCGTACATTGGCATCTGTGAAAAAAGAACTTCATAGCTCATCGGATTCCTCCAGTATATAGATGCATTAGTCTGTGTTTAAGAAATACGGTATTTGTCACGTGCAGAGACCGATACGATGTTGTCTGCTTATATTAACTTCGTAATTGGACATCTATGAAATAGAGCTTCTTATCTTATCGGATTCCTCCAGTTTCAATAAATATTCTGATTCTGATATTGATCATTCCACACAACGGCACCGCTAATCACTTACGTCGAGATCATCCACAACCACGCGGTTTTATCGGCGCGCGCATCCGTGCAACTACCACCACCACGCAGCACTCATCATCATCATCATGTCGTGAGCATCGCTACCGGGTAATTGACGCCGTGAACGACCCAACGCAGAAGATCCCCCTGGGTTTGATCTTACACGAAGCTGCTCGTGGTCCCCACCTCTACACCGCATCCACCGCACAAATCATTGCAGCAGCAGACGCGGATACCTGATGATGATGATGATCTTGATTTTAAGCTTTCGTGACTGCAGGAATCCATACTCTTTGATGATGATGCACAAATGGAAAATGGAAAACTCCCCTGCAGTGGCGGTGCGACTGTGGTCATCCAGAACCGAGGCCGTGCCACGTTTAAGCGACGCAATGCCCCGACCCACAGATATACGAAGTACCCCTGACGTGGTTACCTGGACTCAAGGCCGTAGCCATGGAGTCAACATTAGGGGGGGGGGGATGGACTTTTTATTGATTATTTACAATGTCTAATAGTATATTGTATTTACATTGCTCGTTTTTTTTCCTTTTTTAAATTTTCTTGTTTCATTGTATGTAATGGCAGAGATTAGGGATACATAACCACAGTTCATATAAACAGAAATTTATTTTATAGCAATATATTGGGGGGGGGGGTGAGATTTTGAGCATATTTGCATATTGGGGGGAATGTGTGTCCCCCAATATATATGATAATTATGGCCTTGCCTGGGCTTGAACCCGCCTGAATGTGAAATTGTAGTCGTTGACCTTGCGCCTACACCAGCGAGCCACACGACGACAAGTAGGATAACTGACGCTCGTTTGGAAGGTGTCTCGTGTACGAGTCTGGAATGACGCTCCACGGCCGGTGAAATGCTATCACGGCTGGGCCCCTCGCTGCCGACTCTTCGCGTCTCGTAACAAACCACAGGCGCCTTCACCTCCCCGCCTCCCCAGCCTCCCCAGCCTCTTGAGACAAAACAGCCGAGGCCAGCCCCCTGCTGTTAACGAGTGCGTCCCAACGAGCGCCTACCTCGTCGGCCGCTTGCAGACGAACACAGCAGGGCAAGTTGGGCCAGGAGGAATCAAGTGTTCTATCTCCGTGCGCGCGCGCGTGTGCGTGTCAGAGTGTCTGAGCGGCGGTGTAGCGGTTAGGGGCTGTCCATAAATGACGTAACGCGATTTTTGACAATTTTTGACCCTCCCCCCCCCCCCACCTTCGTCACACGGCGTCACAAAAAGTCACACCCCCCCTCAAATATGACGTCACAAAGCTCTGCCCCACCCCCCCCCCCCAAAAAAACATGCTTCAAATCGCTTTAAACTATTGTAGTGCGTATTTAATGTGGCGCTGCACTCTGATGTTGTAGGAGAGAACATTTATTAAAAAGTCAATTTAATTAAGTAGAACGTGTTGTCTACATTTATTTAAAGTTGCGCATTTTGATGTGACGTCACATTTCTCACCCCCCCCCCCTCGTCACACATCGTCACAAATGTCTGACCCCCCCCTCCCCCCCTAGGTGCGTGACGTAATTTATGGACGGCCCCTTAGCGCGCCGCTGCGCCTACGAAGCCGGAGACCAGAGTTCGATTCCCGCTCACGGGGTCCACACCGGTGGCCATTATCTGAACCGGTCCTGGGCCTCCCCCTAGGTCGACTCAGCCTCAAATGAGCACCTGGTGCGGTGTGTAGTAAACATCGCCACTACGGGAGGCAAAAGACGGCCAGGCGTGGTGCTGGCCACCCACCCCCTCGTGTGCCGTGCCGGCCTTCACAGGTGCTCACTCACAGCACTTGCCCCTACAGTCTATTAAGGTTATACGGGGAATCTTTGTCTTTGTACGTGAGATCATCGCTCTGTCCACCCAACTACTTCACTGCCAGTTAACGAAACCAAATACAATCGCTTCTCTCTGCCTCTCGTGGCACAGAGGTGGGGAGGAAGGGGTGAAGGAGCGGGGTGGAAGGGGGGGGGGGGAACGAAGGAGGGAAGATCCCGAGCCCGAGGAGTCTCGAGTTCGGACAAAGATTCTCCCGAGCCGTCTAGGAACGGCCCAAGCACGGCTACGGCATATTGTCTAAGCGTCGTGGGAATGCTGCATGGGCCTCATTACCTGAGTGCCCCTCCCCCACCCCTGCCTCCGCCCCCCCCCCCATGTGTTTTAGGGGTCCCCTGTGCGAGACTTCGTGGAGGTGGCTTCCTGCCTCGAGTCGTCTCGATCTCAACCCGTGGGCTCCGTCGGTGGTGAAGTGGCGACTCTTGACGCCGACTCTCACGTCAGACCTCAGAATCAGCGCGTTCATTTATCCTGGAGAAATGCAGCAGCATTCGCAAATCGGTTGTGATATCCCGGCGGACTGACATTCCCCTGTCACACGAACGTCGAATTTCCATCACTGTAAACAAAATATGTGCCTGACTTGTTTTTTTTTTACTTTCAAAAACAATTCTACTTCTTTGAGGAGGAGGAGGAGGAGGAGGAGGTCAGAGGAGGGAGGAGCGAGGGAGGAAGGGGGAGGAAGGTAGGGAGGAGGACCTAAACGCTGCTGCACAAAAGATCAGCAGCTTCTGTTCTCAAAGTGGGCGGTGACGGGATAAAGGGGAGGAGTTCAAAGTGGGTGGGGGGGGGGCACACCGAAGTCACGTGGTTTACAAGAGGCTCGAGCTGATTTAGACATCGAGATTTGTATTTAAAAAAAAACACTCACATTGTGTGTATCTCAGTTGCAAGGGTGGCCAGCAGTCTCATTGAGCTCTTAGAGGCTTGGCTTTCTCTAGGATGGCAGTTAGGAGCCAGGGGAAATTACTCCGCTCACGAATATGAACACATGCGTCTGTCTCACCCGCTGCATCCTCAATCCGTGCGTAATTGAATGCATTTCATAAGACCCACGGAAATGTTTATCTTGGAGACTGTAGATATTAATGCAATGCCCCTGGTCTGGAGTTCTGTGTTGTTAAGAGTGTGATTCCTTACTAAATTCCTCCTGCACCACTGGCAACGCTGCAGCATCATCACCAATTCATTTGAGTGTTGATACATGATCTGGTGGTGGCATTGCTGCTGCTGCTGCTGCTGCAGCTACTGCCGA